AACATGGCGCCTGACATGCAATCAAAGCCTAGTCAATATTTGTTTATTGAAAATGGAGAATAGCAAGGGCTATACAAATTATTTTAAATGGTACAATTTATACTAAGGTCTGACTTTGCATATCTGGCTCATTTGATGGACTAATGAGGTCACCAAGATTACCACCCTCGTTTGCTGAAATCCTTCAGTGACTTCAAGAAAATGCCAATTTCCCACCAAAGGAACCCAGCTCCTGATAACTGCATCGCTGCCTGCCTCAGCCTCACCTCCAAACACTCCTTGGCTGGCTCCTCCAGTCCAGCCATCCCCAGCTGCTTGCTGCTCCATGACCTGGTGGCTTGCTTGAGGACTGTGCTATCTCAGGCCCTAGTCCTTGCACACGGTACTCGTCCTGGCTGGATCTCTCTTCTGCTCCCTGCCCTAATTTATTCCTAAAGACCCTGCTCAAGTCCATACCCTCCAGCAGGTTCCCTGAATCTGTAAGTCCTTTTCATGAGTCACCTTACAAGTAGGTGCTCAATGAATGCCAGCTGTATTGCTGCATTTGTGAAATATAGCCTTGGAGAAGGAAAATGTGATTCTGGCAACAAGGAAAAAGTCATGCATTATTTGATCAAGGGGTGGAGCTGTACATGACTTACTGGTTTTAAAAGGGAAAAACACACACACATAAGCATAAGTAAAAGTTGCTAAGGCATTGACTTTCTATTTTTAAATATCATATGGAGTCAAGTATGAATTCCATCACCATCATGTTAAAGGAATTGTATCTCTTACAGACTATGCATATCATGCAAGTTTGGATTTAATTAGTGTGTAATTGTAGCCGTCTGATGAAGGTGAGACAATGTGAATGAGTCAGCAGGGCACGGGTAGCCTGGTCGTGAAATACAAGTACGGCCACAGGAGGGCTGCGTCACAGTTTCCAGGCAGATGGTCTGTTCCCTTCTGGCTTTGCTTGGTATGACTGGTTCTGTCCTTGCTGCTCATAAACCTGCATGCCCCTCTACCCCCTGCCCCAGTACAGAGCCTGCTTTGTGTTCCCCGCACCTGGGGAACAGTCCCTCCCAGCTCTTATCCGTCATCTCTCTCCATCTTCCCCAGTAGACTGTGAGCTCCATGGGGCACGGCTCAGTGCCTGGCAGCATGTGCTTTTTAAGTGAATGAAATGAATAAATGGGTGGAAAAAAGGGAAAGAAAAATGAATGAATTAGCTCTAGATCATCTTTTTGCATCAGACCCCCTTGATATGCATCCCAAATTCTTCTTTCTCCTTATGCCATTCAGGCTTTGGAATCCTGAAATTTTCCCCATAGTAACAGGCTTGGGGGTGAGGAGCACAGAGGCTGAAGGGTGCATTCTGGAATCACCCACCGGAGGTTTGACTCCCTGCTCCACTCCTTCTTACCAGCCGGGTAATCTTGGCTGAGTACCCAGACCTTCTTAAACTCAGTTTGCCCATATGTCAAACTGGGATATTGATAAGACTTACCTCATGAGGCCGTGGTTCCCAAGCTGTGTGCCAAGGCACCCCAGGGTGCCACAACAAACTCACGAGGGCACCAAGGCACATTGTAAATCTCCAGGAGGAAACATGAAGATGTCTGCCTGTTACTGCATGAAGTCTTGATATAATCATGATTGCAATACTGCAACTCTTGGGTTGGTTGGACCTAAGTACGGAAAACATATTTCTTTTGACCTGGGGCCACAGGGAAAATTTCCTGAGATCCTAAGGGCGCTGTAACCTGAGAAAAGCTGGGTCTCCAAGTCATAGGGTTGTCATGAGAATTTAATGGGAAAGCACAGAACAAGCTTGCTACTTGTTAAGTGATCCACAGATGTTAGCTATAATCATTATTTCCCTGTCCTCTGGATAAGTTTCATCATGGAATTCGACTGTTTATCTAAATCACCATTTAAATTACCAGCAAACTAAAATTAAGCAACACAATTCTGAATAATAGCTCAAATTCCTTTATTTTTCCCCAAATTACAAATTGACTGGGGTGATTAAATAGTTCAAGGAAAAAAAAAAAATCTACGTGGGACTAGGCAGAATTCCTTAGGGGTGTTCCTTCTAGGAAATGAAACCCACAGACATTACCGAAGTCCTCACTGGGCGCAAACCACTAGAAGAGAGTAAACAATCCTTGAGCCTACTACACGGGGAACTCACAGCAAAAATAGACTCCCTTGAATGAAAGGTAATCCTTGGGAATATACTGCCTTAAATAGTAATTTCAACAGCTCATTGATTGTTAGAGTCAAATGTCAAGTACTAGTACTCTACTTCTCAAGAACTAAATGTACTGGAAGCAATGTATTCGGTTATCCTAATTTAGTTTTTTTTTTAATGGATAGATATCTTGTTTATTTGTTTCCAAGGTATCCACCATTACATTTATTTTTTTTTAAGCAATTCAGCCATGACTTGGTTAGGGATGAATAATGTAGAAATGTTATGTGTTGAAGCAGGGGTTGCCATGTCATTTTTACAAAAAGATTTCCAGGAATCACTAAGGCCAGAAAATAGCTCCTAGTTCTAAGGTCCGAACACCAAACAAGATGTGTTGGCTTTTTTCTTCCAAAGAAATTTCAAACCAATTGCATTCTTGAATCCATTTTCTAATGGAAAGATTAGCCCATATATGAAGTTATCATAAAGTGCTGAATGTTGTCAAAGCCCCTGACAATCCCAGATGCAGTCGGGGAAGCTGGCTGCTCACATTTGCGGTGTGCTGGTGAGTCACTTTGGTATTTGGCTGTTGTGCCTCTTTCGTTAACAGTGCAGGGATGTCTTTTCCTCCCACATCCAAAACTGTTTATTATACCAGGAGCACCAGAAAGTATAAGAATAAAATTCTTAGATTCAGTTTAAATCTAAATTGGCCTTAAATGTTGGTTTATGTTTCTAAATGTCCAAACAAAAAACCCAGCAGGTTCTTGTATGATAAAATATAACAATGAATAGACTGCACACCAAGGAGTTCAGAATGTTTCTCCATCTAAAAAACACTTCTCTACCCATCCTTATGAATTTCAGGAGGTAAGCATGTAACCCACTAGGAAAGACACCCAAACAGTCACAAATGCATAGTGAGGGTTCCAGTATCCTGTGATCCTCAATTTTAGTTCTAGAGCCAGTTCTAAATTTGTAGCCTCTGAAAAACCTTTAGAAATCATGCCCCTCATTCATGGATCTTGAATATCTTCATTTTGTGGCTTGTGTCACTAGGATGTGAGAATTTTGTGGGTGAGTTTTCCACCCTTCTTGTTCACTGCTCTGTCTCCCCTTGTCTTAAGTGAGTGCTCAGTACGCAGTGGTTAAGTCTATCAATCAATGTTCAAGTGCTATTATCGGTTATAAAACAGCTTTTTAAGGTCATTCATTCAGTCCCATATGCATTGCCTTCGTTAGTCTTCACAAGACAATGAGAAAGGGGGTATCATCTCCATTTTACAAAGACAAGGCTAAGATTTGAGAAGGCAAGTGATGGCCCCTGATCACTCAGCTAACAAGCCCAAAGCCCAAGCATGGAACCTCCACGTGACAGGTGCTTTGTTGACATGAATCAAACCATCCCCACTGGACCACGCGTCTTCAAGCACCTTTGGTTTTCCCTATTTGTTTGGATCTAGAGCTTGCAAGAAGCTGTGACCAGAGGCAGAGCAAATGGGAGTAAGACTAAGGTGAGAGGGTGGGGAGGCAGCCTCGCCCCACGAGACTGGGAATCAGGAGACAACTCCCCCAAAAACTTTGTGTAACCTGTTTCTTTTTTGGAAAATGGCAGGATCAGGCCAGATTGTGAGGGATTCCCCAGGGGTTCAGTCTTGCCATCTCCTCACAAGGCTGGTGTCCTTCCAAGATATCCACTTGGAGCCTGAGGAACGAGGCACACGAGAGTCCTCTGGCAAACACTCTGAATGCCCAGTGGACAGGTGGGGATGGCAGTGACCCACTTCCACCCTTCTCCCTCCCAGCCCAGGCTAGATTCACTTCTGAGCAGCCAACTACCCTCCTTTCCCAGACCAGCTGGTACCTCTGCCAGCTTCATCTCCCAAGTCTTGATCACAAAACCCTCCATTTTTTTCAGCCCTGTCTTGTGGGGCTTGCATTCTGTGGATCACCCTTTGAAAAACATGGTTATTGTTATTCTAACGGCCAGACAGAAGGCAGTGGTTTTTGTATACAGAATAGCTATGTGTACGCTGGGCAGGGGAAATCCACAGCTTTCTGCTACCACAGCCTCTCCAGAGCGGGTTCTTCAGGAGAAATGTAGGAGGAAGCTGAAGGGGTGGCCTGCCCCTCCACACCTGTGAGTATTTCTCGTTAGGTGGAACGAGAGACTTGAGAAAAGAAATGAGACACAGAGACAAAGTGTAGAGAAAGAAAAAGTGGGCCCAGGGGACCGGCGCTCAGCATACAGAGGACCCACGCCGGCACCAGTCTCTGAGTTCCCTTAGTATTTATTGATAATTATCTTTACCATCTTAAAGATAAGGTAGTGGCAGGACAATAGGATCATCGAAGGGAGAAAATTAGCAGTAAGACATATGGATAAAGATCTCTGTGACATGAATAAGTTCAAAGGCAAATGCTGTGCCTTGATATGCATGTGCAAACATCTCCACAAACCTCTTAGCAGCATTGCTCCAGCAAGTCCCGCCAGCAAGTCCCACCTTATGCCATAAGGCGGTTTTCTCCTATCTCAGTAAACAGAGCATACAATCGGGTTTTACACCGAGATGTTCCATTGCCCAGGGGACGGGCAGGATTTTTAACCAGCAAGCTGCCTTCAGGTACTTGTTTAACAAAGCACATCCTGCACAGCCCAAAATCCATTAAGCCTTGAGTTACCACAGCACATGTCTCTTGCAAGGACAAGGTTGGGGGTAGGGTCACAGATTAACAGCATCTCAAATACAGAACAAAATGGAGTATCTTGTGTCTACTTCTTTCTATATAGACACAGTAACAGGCTGATCTCTCTTTGTTTTCCCCACAGAAGCTTCAGGCAGTACCATTCCTTAGCTGGAAGGAACTCCAGCCCTTCACATCACTATTGTGAAAGCTGGGCCCAGAGCGGGGAGGCAGCGTCCCAAGATCACACGGTGAGTTAGTCACCAGCGAAAATCACATTTTCCTCCTCGCACACCACACCCTCTTTTTCCAGGAAAATTCCAGTCTCCTTTGGAAGAATGACAATGCTACAGAAAAGCACATGGATTTGCAGCTTCATGGACATCCCGTGTGAGGGTGACAGCTCTTTACTCTCAGTGAGTTCCCCGGGTACACACGCTCCTGAACAGACACAGGATGCACATATCTAAGTGCGTTCTGGCCCCAGATCCACACACGCAGATGCAGAAGGGGCTTTCAGCTGATCACGAGGGTGTGGAAAGGTCTCAAGGGTGATTCAGGCACATAAATTCAAAATCTGTTTCTTCAACAAGAAAAGCAGCTATCTTAAAAAAATTATTTTTAAGTAATCCAGATAATATTATATTCAACAGATGGAGGAAAGTGAAGCCAGGCTTACTGAGAAAAAAAACAACCCTCAGAAATCAAAATCAGACAGCTATGCCCGGTCTGGCTGCCCTGGAGCGGGAAGACCCGAACCTTGGCAGGGCTGCCTGCTGTGCTGACCCGCCTGATATCACGAAGAGAAGTGATTTTCCGATCCTGCATCCGGTACAGCTGTGCGGACTCTGCTCTTCCTACCATTCCACCACGAAATTAAAAAGCAATTTTCTTTTGAAGTTCTGGGGTTTTTTTTGTTTTTTGTTTTTTTCATTTAAGATTACACTTTGAGGTCAGAGAATGAGACATAAGGAATTCACAAACACACACGCATTCGATTCAGAAACATTCCACCCTCCACATCCCCATTTTAAACTGTCCTGAGGCCCAGATGGTTTACAGCTTGAGCCAGCTTAGGCTGGCAAGCATTTCAGGGATCTGGTTGACTACGTTTTCCTGAAACAGAGGTATTTTATGCATTAAGCTGATGAACACCGGGGAGAATGGGGCACCCTAACTGCCTTTAAGTAATATCTTATGAAGCTCTTCTAGAATTAGCAGAACAAAATACACCCAGGAATCAAGTGTATAAAGCAATGAAGACTGTGTTTCAACTTGCAATATTGTGAGTAGTGTTGTTTATTCAAGGCAGTGTTGATTTTTATACTTTTTAAGCTTGTGTGTATGTTTTTCTCCTCACATGATTATGGTCTTGTATCAGTTGCAGTTCAAGCAGGAAGCAGAAACCACACAGTAACTTAAACAGGGAAAGTTGAGTATAAATAATTAATAAGTAAAATGGAGAACTGGAGCAACAAGGGATTGGCTAGTGAGAAGTGATCTCTAAAGAATACAGAGCAGCAGATAGAGGGAGGCGCCGCTCTCCGTCCCTGGAGCTGAGACGGATGCTCATGAAAGGGCTGAAAAGATTCAGCCATAGCTCAGTAAGTGGCAGGGAATTTCTGAAGTGCTGTGGTGTTACAACAGTAGAACTTGCTAGAAATGGGCCTCTTTTCTTCAAATTGAAGGAGAGACATTTCCCCAAACTGAAGGGGACAAAAATGAAGAAATTCTTAGCCTTTCCCCCAAATGAGGAGACACATAGCCCTAAAGGTCATTATATTGGTGATGGGCTATATTAATCACTCCTCAAATTCAGTCGTAGTCTCACTCATGTTTTTTGCATACATTGTAAAATGAATTTCTAACAACATGTGCATAAAATAAAAATAGGAAAAGTGATGAAAATGGTTACCATGTAGAAAAAAATACTTATCTGTCATAAGCAAATAGAATATTTGCAGAGCTTCTATAATCCTTGTTTCTGTAACTTGGCATGAAGCCCCATGTTAGGATCTATGGCTTCCATCTCTCACTCTTCCATATTCCCCTTGCCCTAAGCCAGACCTTGGCTGCTCCAATTCTTTACAAGGGGGTCAAGTCCTTGACCACCCTGCCTTTTCTTTAGTTTCTCTAGTTTTCTACTAAACTTTACTGTTGGTTAGTTCTTACATGCAAGTACGAAGCGGCACTCATTGCTCCTGACAGGCTCCTCCCTCCCTCTGCTGTGCAGCAGCAACCCAGTTTCCCCTTGGTCACCAGGATCAACCACCCGAGCTATAAACTCATTCCTTTTGTGACTGTTTGTCCAGTGGCCTCTAGGACCCCACAATGGCCACGTGCAGTCTCTGCTTCTAGTTCAGTAGAGTCATTGCTGTGTCTCTTGATGGGGGGCAAGTGCTCCTGCGTGGCTGTCTAAGATCCCCAAGCCCTCAGAATCCCAGGTTGCTAGGATGGCGATTAATTCTTGGACCCATGGACTCTGGCTATCATGGTCTCTGATTCAAAGTATGTGATGCATCCTGTAAGACAGAGTCTTACATTGAAGTACTATTTTATGAGGCTATTTTAGGAATGCATGCAGAGCAAAAGACACCCAGCAACCAAATATGTAAATCAATGAAGAATGTTTCGGATTGTAATAATGCAAGCAGAATGTTGTCTATTCAATGTTGATTTTTCAAACTTTCCAACTTGTATTTTTTTAGAGTTGTTAAAGGATGAAAAAATTAAAGCTAGACAGGAAGAATAAGTTCTAGTGTTCTACACCACTATAGGATGACTATAGTTAACAATAAAATATTATACAGCTTCAAATAGTTAGAAGGATATCAAATGTTATCAACACAATGAGTTTATAAATGTTTGATACGATGCATATGCTAATTACCCTGATTTGATCACTATACATTACATGCACCCAATCATGATGTATCCCCATGAATATGTACAATTATTATTTGTCAACTAAGAAATCAACATTTTAAAAATCTTTTAAAAACACTATTGCCTATAAAAAGAAAAGTTGAAAAAATCTATATGCCAGGCCATGTGTTGCCACTGCATTTATTGTCTTATTTATCATCATAAGCCCACCTAGCAGACAATTGTGAATCTCCATATCTTATAGAAAACCAAAAGGTTAAAAGATTAACTTGTTATTTCTATAAGCATCATTAATGTCACAACCTGAAAAAATAAATTAAGAAAAAAGGAAAAATGGGGTCAAATTTTAATGTCTGGTATAGTAACTCCAGATTTCTAGAAACATTTTTTTAATGATTCATGCAGCTATTCCTTATAACCAGGTCTCAGAGTTGCCTTTGCTAGGGGTGATTTTATTAGCAGGGATTTAGTTAGAAGAGACTTGAGCCAGACTTCCACAGCCATAACAGACCTTTGAGACATCTTCTCTCCAAAGTCTGAGAATTCCCTAGAGAAACATGCTTCTTATTCTATGTTCTATGTGCTCTGATAAGCTAAGGAAGAAAAAGTATATATATATATATATATATACACACACACACACACACACACACACACATATAAAGACAAGGAGTAAAAGAAAAAGGAAAGCAGAAAAAAAAGTCATGTTTGCAATATATAAATTATTTTCATATGCATTGCTAAATACTCCCAGCTGTGCAAGAATGGATCACTTCCAGGAAGATAGAGCCATAAAACTGTAACTTCCACCACAAGTCTGTCAGAGACCAAAACTCTGTTTAATCTGATGGTTGTTTGTTTGCTGGTTGGTTGGTCGGTTGGTTGGTTGGTTTTGGTTTCTGGTTGGTTGGTTGGTTGGATGGTTGGTTGGTTTTGGTTGCTGGTTGGTTGGTTGGTTGGTTTTGGTTTCTGGTTGGTTGGTTGGTTGGTTGGTTGGTTGGTTTTGGTTCCTGGTTGGTTGGTTGGTTTTGGTTTCTGGTTGGTTGGTTGGTTGGTTTTGGTTGCTGGTTGGTTGGTTGGTTGGTTGGTTGGTTTTGGTTGCTTGTTGATTGGTTGGTTGGTTGGTTGGTTTTGGTTGCTGGTTGGTTGGTTGGTTTTGGTTGATGGTTGGTTGGTTGGTTGGCTTTGTTTGGTTGCTGGTTGGTTGGTTGGTTTTGGATGCTGGTTGGTTGGTTGGTTGGTTTTGGTTGCTTGTTGGTTGGTTGGTTGGTTAGTTTTGGTTGCTTGTTGGTTGGTTGGTTGGTTGGTTGGTTTTGGTTGCTGGTTGGTTGGTTGGTTTTGGTTGCTGGTTGGTTGGTTGGTTGGTTGGTTTTGGTTGCTTGTTGATTGGTTGGTTGGTTGGTTGGTTTTGGTTGCTGGTTGGTTGGTTGGTTTTGGTTGCTGGTTGGTTGGTTGGTTGGTCTTGTTTGGTGGCTGGTTGGTTGGTTGGTGGGTTGGTTTTCCCACCCCACAATCCTGCCAGTGGTACCATACATGGGACTCTATAAATGGAGGTCTACACAGTTGAATCTTTCAGGACAACTTTAAATAAAATATTTAAAAGTGAACGTGAGACAAATTTGGGAGGCCAGGAGATAGGCTATTTAGGCTTATAGGCTAAAATATTAAAGAAGTTATTGTTTTGTGCCCTGTGGATTTTGCAGCAAGAAAAAAAGAGGAAGAAACCAATAAATTTTTCCAAAACCATGGTTACAGAGCGTCAGCAACAATAAGAACAGAGGGTAGAAAGTTGTGGTAGGAGAAGAAGACCTAACATGCCAGCCCCACCTCACTGATGAAGAGTCAGTTTCTAGCACTCAGCCTCAGCCCGTCCTGTGATGATAAAATTAATCCTTTATTCTGTGCAGTCACTGAATGGGGCATCTACCCCTACTCTGGAAGGACCCTTTGAAGCTGTGGGTGCCCAGAAACCTCGGGGATAGCTAAAGAGTTCCTTACTCCCAAATAAGGAAATATGACTCTATCCTATGAGCAGGGGAGAAAAAACAAAGGTGGCAAGGGGCCCTGCAGGAGCTGCTGACCAGAGCACAGCTGACAGCCTACTTGTAACCTCCCTCCCACCCCATAGTGGGTGGCCATTCTGGTTGTGGTGGAGAGCAACGGGTGGAGTTGCAGAGCTCATTTACAGCCAGGAGGATCCAATGTCCATTTTCACACACTGGTTTCTATGACTGAAGGTGACTAAACAACACCTTTTAGAGGTTATTATTGTGAAATAAAGGATTGGAGTTGATCCTTATAAAATTTCTCCATTACACCTGCTTATGGGATGCATTGGTCATTGTTCATAATAGTAAAAAATGGAAAAGACTCAACATATTTAAATAAATTATCATACCTGGTAAAGAACATTAGATAGAAATTTAAAATCATAATTTCAAAGTGTAATCCATACACCTAGTGCCCAGATTTTGGTTTCTAATATCACTTTCCAATAAAAGGAACCAGGACTCCTTAGAGAAATGACTGTGTATTAGTCCATTCTCACATTGGTATAAAGAAATACCCAAGACTGGGTAATTTATAAAGGAAAGAAGTTTAATTGACTTGCAGTTCCACATGGCTGGGCAGGTCTCAGGAAACTTACAATCATGGCGGAAGGCAAAGGGGAAGCAAAGACCTTCTTCACATGATGGCAGGAAAGAGACAGCTAGCTAGAGCAGGGGAAACTGCCTTATAAAACCATCAGCTCTCATGAGAACTCACTCACTATCACAAGAATGGCATGGGAGAAACCGCCTCTACGATCCAATCACCTCCCACCAAATCTCTACTTCAACGCCTGGGGATTAAAATTCAAGATGAGATTTGGTTGGGGACACAAAGCCTAACCATGTCAGGCCAATTTGATGAAAATACACAAAATAAGCCTGGAGCATCTTGTAGTGGCCTAAAGTAAGATAGTGCTCAAAAAATTTTAAAAAGTAAAAACAAATGAACAATGTGGGTTCTG